AATATGGTTAGTGGAGTTATGTGTTTTGATGGTGGGGATGGGTGTTATTTTGTGTTGAAATACCTAGCTGTTGTGTGTGTGTGTGTGTGTGTGTGAGTGTGTGTGTGTGTGTGTGTGTGTGTGTGTGTGTTCGTGGAGTTCAGTACAAGCCTGAGACCAGCTTTTGATCAAGAAGTTTAATCATAAGTTGGCTAATATAGTTTATATGTTTTTTAAGCGTATCCTTTCGGTCTTATTTCAATTTAGCATGGATAATAAGAATTAAATTTCAGAAATGTAGGTTACAATGATTATTAATGTAGCCCCCCATGAAATATGTCGGGTAATTCCTTTTGAATTAAGAGCGACAAAAGATAAAGAAGGGATCGAACTGTAAAGAAAAGAAAATATGGGAGAAAAATAATGAAAAAATGAATACACTTCAGAAGCACGAGCAGGATTGAGGATTCGGTTCATTTCACCGTGCCCTTATTTTCTTTCTTTCTTTTTTTTTGGGGTAGATTTTCCAAGTGTTTTACCGCGCCCGCAATTGCATAAGGTCATATTATTATGAGCGCGCAGTACACATTAAACGTGTTCATTTTGGTAGAATTTTTTTTTTTTTTTTTTGGGGGGGGTTTATTTATTTATTTTTTTTTTTTTTTTTTTTTGGGGGGTGTGGTTGTTTTTTTTTTTTTTTTGGGGGGGGGGGTCCGGGTGACGGCCAAAGCCTACTCTTATCGATTTTAGGATCACCAAGGGATCTTTAACGTGTGCATTTTGCACACTGGACCTCTGAGATTTCTCATCCTTATTCGAGAAAGCCAGGTGTTAGGTTTTAGGCTACCTAAGATAAGGGGTGTGGCTGAAAGGGAGGTGGCATTAAAGAGGAGGGGGTGAGAAAGCGGAGACAAAAGCAGACGACAGAACATGGTTAGAGAGCATGAAAGGAGGTGAATGGAGAACATTTTAGAGAAGAAAATGTTCCCTTGCTGTCAGGTTTCGAACTCAGGATCTATTAAATGATCAGAGAAGAACACGCCGTAACCTCTAGACTGAGCCCCCAAGACTGATTATAAAGAGAGATTCGACGTACTGCGGTGATTTGAAATACAGTAGCAGGCTGATATTCTCTCTCCTGCAGCAATAGCTAGGCCTACTAACTGGATTTCCCTCTGGGATAATAAAGTATTATCTAATCTTATCTTATCTTAGATATTCGCTGAAAGTAGAAGAATCGTTGTCAGGACGTACACTACCTAGGCTGAGTGTGAAACTTAACTTCTTTTTTGTTTTAAAGTGACGTATAAGCCTATTTTGTAGTCTACTTAAGGTAGCTTCTAAAGAATGAAAATTAGAAAACTGCAATATTTTAGTAACCTTAACATATGAGACAAAAGAAATTCACATGCCCGGTTGCCTATTGGAAAGTAAGCTAGACGAGGGCAGTTGGAAATTGGAAAGCAGAAACCCTACCACAGATTGACAGCTGAGCAGCAAAATAAAGTCACGGACAGCATGATTGTTGGGTGCGTCGATAAGCTTACAACCGTAGCGAACGGCGGATCATTGCACGTTTGTCATAATTAATTGTCAACTAATGTCAACCTCAGGCTCAGCAGAGGCGGACAGGATACAAAAATTACTGAGGCAGAGATAACACCCCAACCAACCAATCGACCTGCTTTTTCTACTTTTTGTTGTTGTTGTTTGTTTGTTTGTTTATGTTGTTGTTGTTTTGTTTTTTGTTGTTGTTGTTTGTTTTGGGGGGGGGGGGGGTGGAAGCAGATAAAACAAACTGCAAAAGCAAAAGAAAGGATTTTGCCATGGGTTCAAGACGTGTTGACTAAAGAAAGAATAACATATTAAATCCTCTCACTAAAACTAAAACATCGACACAATTGCTGGATGGATAGGCTTTAATTCTTATGGCACCGAACTAAGTAATAGGCTTAACTCCCCGCTTACAATACAGAGACAGCGAATTAATTAAAGGTACGATGATGGGCGCCCAACAAGACTGCAAGACTACGCAGTAGATTCTACCAATATTAACCAGTTGACTGACTGCATAGAGTTAACTCCTTTTATTAAACTACAGTCAGAGAGTATTTCTTTTATTATAGTGTACATCTATGGTTGACAAACAGTAGGCCTAACATTCCTAACAACAGCTGCGAGACCATGCCAAGAAGTCATACGGAAACAGAGGAAGTGGCAGGTTCAGGAAAAGATGGATAGAGGCAGAGCCACAGAATTCTACACTTAGAGTAGAATTCTGTGGGCAGAACGGGTCAGAGAAGCATTAGTTAAAAACTACATAATAACCATGCAACAGGCGATTCAACAAACAAGAGAAAAACGTTTGTTCCCTCCTTCGACACCGAAACGAAACAGAGGCCGGGAAAAGTAAGAAGTGAATAATTGTTTCTTTTTCTTCTAACAATTAGGCTATTGCTCTTTTTATCATTTCAGTATTTTTACCTTTCGGTTTTTCCCAGAACTAGGAGGCAGGAGGAGTTCCGGGTGAACGAACGCTTGGAGACAGTAACTGTTCCTGGTTTGCGAGTTAATTTTTACTGAATACGTTGTGCCTCTGCCAACAAGGTCTGTGTAAGTCTGTAAGAGTAAATCAGTGTGGGTTGTTTTTTTTAAACAATAAAAATCTTTGATAAGCATGGTAAATGCTTTCTCTCGATGTGTTGTTTTAACCCATTATAATTTGATATTTTACAGAACTTAGATTTGAAATTTTCCTGAAAATAATTGATTTGTGACTGTTTTAGTTTTAGTGGCTTTATGTGTGATCTGTAGCAAACAGTACTGCAGTTTGACCCCCAGAGCGGTGCATCTGTGTGTGGGAGTGAAAGTAAAAATTGACCCCGTTTTCTTTTCTGTAAAGTGGAATAACCTGTGTCTCGCTATTATCTCACCCCTCAGGCTCAGGTGTGCTACATCATACAGCAGATCTAGGCCAAAAGCACAGACACACACAGAACAGCACGGCACAGAGAATAAATTAACTAAATATATATAAGTTGTAGAGATAATAATAACAAGCGGATAATTAGAGAACGACAACTAAATATATAGATCTATATAATGCCATTCGCCGATATTTATAGTAACGGCCATCTTGTTTGACCTTGCAAGGAGAATGCCCACCACCGCGTCACCTGATCATGATTATAAAAATAGTTATGGTTTTGCGAAGCGGAAGAGCGCGGTTTTCACTGGCACTCTGTGTTTTCAAGCGACGTGCGACATTTACAGTTTTCCTCAAAATGAAGCAACTGAGAAGTCAGTACATTATATATTGTATGTTATACAATTGAATCCATATATAAAATAGATACAAAGTTGAATCCATTTTTATAACATGTAGATCTAGATACAGTTGAATCCATTATAACATGTAGACAGCTAAAAAGCAGTCTGGGGGTGTAGGGTTGGGGTGACGATATGGATGCTAATGCTGTGATAGCTCGCGCTGTGTCGTCTTCAAACCGATGACACTTGCTCGCCTCTACGAGTGTGCAAGTGCCATGTAAAGCACAGTAAAGCGATATGGTGTGCTAGCAAGATGCTGGTACCACGCACCAGCAATTGGCACACATGTGCAATCGAGCTAGGTAGATCTAGTGAGTGAGAGGAAGCTGCTGTCGTGCAGTCGTATTGCCACCATGAATGACAACAAAGTGGGAATCCCTCAGTGACGTCAAACAAGATGGCTGTTACTTATAAAGATTGGTCATTCTCTAATTATTGTGTGTAGAGATAAGTTTCCGGTTTAGTTTATTTAATGGGCGGGGTGAAGACCATTTCACACCATGAACAGCAAACAGTAAAAAAAACAAAAATCAAGACAAAACAAAAAAACCGAGCTACACTAGATCTAGATACCGGTCCTCTCATCTCTAGCCTAATTTTAAGAAGGCTCTTTGATTTTTTACAAAATTAAGGGTATTAAATGGCAACGGTAATCAGTAGTTGGCCTACATGAGGAAGCAAGTTCCAAGCACTCCTGAGTCATTTCCCAATCACATATGTTAAGACACCAATGGCCTTGGTGATTTTATCGGCCTGCGAGAGGTCAGGGGGGGAGTCCTCGTCTCATGCCCACACCGGGGTGGGGGTGAGAATAACAGGTCATGAGCTATTCTCACCAGGGGTGAGAATATCTATAGGTGGCCTTTCTCTGTCTTACACACGGAGATGCCTGCATGGATGGTCTTCATGAATTCTACAACCTTTGGCCTACACTGAAATGCAGGGGGAGGGTGGTGCAGCTGTCTCAAAATTAGCGATTTGTGAGTGAGGTTACTCTTTTATTCATTGCCAACATCCTGTCTATGCATGGCCGTCATTTTTTTAAAGTACAGTGTATGAAAGCGGTTTTACAGGAGGAGTGTCAAAAAATTGAATGTTGTTACCAAGAAAACAAACTCTTTGCAAACATCTTAAGCCAATGTTTAAAAAAATACAATTTTAATAGCTTCCATGTTATCTTTAAAGCAAATAAATCTGTTTTCTAGATAACTACATTCCATGTTTTTGGCTTTCCTGTAAAACTCACAAGTGACAAACTGAATGAGTAAGATTGAAACCAAAGAATACTACATGATGATAGGTCACTAAATTAAACAAAGAATAATTTTTAAAAAAGACAACTGACCTCTATAGCGCCAAAAGGGACAAGTATTTAATGTATGATGATTATAATTTCAATGAGATCCTCTTTTGCTAGTCTTTGAGGCACAAGATAAAAAGTCTTCATCAGCATCAGTTGTATTTATATTAATAATGGCAAATATAGTTTGTAGTAGTTAGGCTACTGGACTTGTAATCGTGAGGTTGCAGGTTCGGGGGGTTCAAGCTGTGGGCCCAACATTGTGTCCTTGGGAAAGGCACTTTACACAAATTTTGCTCCCTTCTCCCAGATGGGAATGGGTACCTGGCATAAGACAGCGAAAGATCTTGTCAGTATAATGGTGTTTTAACGCTTATAAATGGCCACTTGCACTGTATGCTTCCCAGGAAGTTGAGGTTATATCCGAATGCTCTCAGGTCTGCTGAGATAATAGTATAGATTGTGAAGCGCATAGAGCTTGCTGTTGAGATGCTATCTATTTTCTATTATTAATAACCATCTTGCACTTTTTTTTTATCAAAGCTACCTGCGTAAATCATTACAGTAGTCAGTCCCATTTCATCATAGAGATCTATATATTCAAAGACTATTCCGTGAATGAACAAAATGTCCAACAACAGTGGAATCTTAGTAGTAGTCATGGAGAATTGATACTGAATACCAGTGCACATTGCCCATCTGAGGGCAGGTTGATTAATGGTGTGAGTGCATACTGAATGAAATTGGCCTCTCCTGAGTCCTTTGCTGCATCAAATTTCACTTGTAGGTCCATTAGAAAGGGCCTTCGATCACAATCCATGCTGAAATAAAAGATCTGAACCAAAATTTATAGTAGCCTTGTCTGTGGCTGTTTTTATCAGACATGAGATCCACAATGACAAACAAAACCCCAAAGTTGTTGGACTGTGGAGGATTTGATCAAATTACAGTGCCTAAATGGATTAGCCATGATCATCAGGGTCAAATTTTTAATATGCCCTACTCTGCAAAAATCTAAATTGTACTGATATTTGTATCAATTTTTTTCATTTGTTTTGGTGTGATCAGGTGAAATGACAAAGATATGAAGAGCATGACACTCGGAAGGCAATGGATATAGTTGACAATGTTCAGACCAGGTTTGTCCAAGAGCCATCATTGCACCTCAAGTGTCCTGTATGTCAGCAGCTGTACACCGAACCGGTCATCAACATCAAGTGTGGGCACACTTTCTGTCACTCTTGTGCCTTCAACGCGACACACTGCCCTCTGGATGGTGCTCACTGTGACACAAGTCAGCTTGTTGTCAACAGGTAAATTATGTCCTCAAACCATGGTTCAGTTTGGCTAAGTAAAGAAGTTTAATGTTTTTCACTCTGTATTGAGGAGAAAAGAGGCCGTTTTAGACTAGTGGCCCTTTTACACAGTATCATTATAATGTAAGAAAAATGCTAGGGGTGAAATTGGAAGTTGTTATTTGTACAGGTGATTGTCTTATAATATAGTTGGATGATGGAGCAAGTTTCATTGCATTTGGTTTTTATTGTCATGTATTCTTCTTATTGAAAATGTCTTTAGGTGTTCCAGAAGCAAACGTTAGGCATACTATTTCACAGATTTTTTCCAAAATTTGAAATCAGTTTTTGTGTGTTCCTTGAAATTCATGTGCTGTGATGAGTACAAAGTTTATGATTGCTGGTCCAATTTCTTATTGTTATGCTTTAAATTTCATGTGCAAATGTGCATCTCTTTTTTTTGTGCTTTTGTTTGTAACAAAAAAGTTTTGAATTTTATGGGGACACTATTCCTCTTAAAAGCTCGTACTAGGGCCATGCCCTGGACCTATGTTTTAAGGTGTATTTCTCACCATCTCTGAAGCCAATTGGATGTTATTCTGGTTCCAGTACTGGATCGATAACAACATCTGGTTCCAGTTGTGTATATTGTATACTGTGCCAAAAAAACCCTGTACAGCACAATGTTCTTCTTTAGATCTTGAATGTTTGCCACTTTGATCATGTAAATATCCACTAGTTGAAGCAGTAGATTGTTTATGTGTATACTAATACTACACTGTAATAATGCTTATTGTTGTTGAGTAACATTACATAAAAATAGAAGTGATGCATGAGAAGTAATCCAGTTAGAGTTATTCCACAAAGAGCATTTTGTTCAGCAGTGTTTTCTCCCTCTTTTTCGTGTTCCTGGGGATTTTAAGTTGATTTATAACATGACTCTGAGTAGGATAATTCTTTTTCTGTTAAACCTGTTTGTTTTGAAATTTCAACTACAAGGGCAAAATATCTTAGGGTAAAGACTGATGAAGTTTCATCCTTACTTACTGAATTTAAAGTAGATCAGATCTTTCTTTGCTTTCTGGTCTCAGGGGCATCCTTGTCTTGTGATGAAATCAGGCTCAACTCTGTATGATTTTTAGTTTGATTAGCAGCTCTTCCTTGGCAGAAAAATGTTGACTTATTTAATGGGTTTTTTCTGTCCACCGAGCAGCTTTATAGCATTTTTGTGAATGAAAGGGGTTTATGGTTATACACCCGGTAAAGTTGCATCTCCATAGGAGCAAGTGAGATTGTACAATAAATGGAATGAACTGGAGAGCCTGTTGACTTCAGTAAAATATAAGCTCTTTCCCAAGCAATTCGGTGTTAAATATAAGTACATTATTTCCTAGGTATGGTCAGGACATTTCTTATCAGTTTCATGCATGAGATAGTGGGGTTTTTTCCCATATATATAGCCTTTTATTTTGAAAAACCAGGCCTGTTGATCTA